CACCCTCCATCAACCCCAGGCTTGAAGTAAAAAAGTGCAGCCATAAAATATACATTTTTCCTTGATTGCATTTTTACACAAGAAACTGTATAGATGGGCTAAAACAACAGAACACCAACTATATTTTCTAGTTTTTTCGAAGTCTCTAAGTAAATTTAAATACATAAAATTTACACTATTTCCCGTACTTTTGGGAAATAAAAAGGTTCCAAATAGTATCATTATATAAGTTCTAACTTTTATTACCTTAGCTAGTTCGGAGGAATTTTCGTTCAATTCCAGAGTCGCATAATGACTTTTTAGCTCAGTTAGTAGTATACCCTGACCTCTCGCACCACCACCTTCAACCATGTCCTTGCCCAACAATTCTTCACATAGAGAATTGGGTTGTTGAACCGACCCGTTAACCGCCTTACCATCGACAGGGAGACCCAATAACATGTACACGTCCTCTAGTATGACGGTACATTCACCTATTGGTAGATGAAATGTATGGGTCTCTGGTCTCCACCTTTCCAACATTGCAAGTATGAACTTTGAATCAATTGTGCAGTTGGAGATCTTTATAACGTTTCCGAAACCTGTGTAATCGAGATATGGTACGATCAACAGGTCGGGAGCAAGGTAGTTGTGTGACCAAATTCTGAATCTTTTAGTATCCTAAGTTAATAATGTAAAAGGTGTAAGAGTAGGTAAGTAAGATGAACAAAGCATTACTAGAAGTATGAAAAATGTATAAGTATAAAAGAAACTTATAAATGCTGCAATGTTGTCCCTTGTGCCTCTGTGAGAATCGCCCATTGTGAGAAGAGCCATTGTTGAAAATGCTTGAGATTATGAAAGAGTTTGAAATTGTAAGATATTATGAAAGAGTTTGTAGCAGAGAGTGAGACGATTGTGGATGCGAGAGAAGTATGTAATGCTCTGTATTTATAGGCAAAAAATTTTCATAGAGTAAGTGAGGTGGTAGGTGGGTGCATGCATGCGTGATAAGTGTCACTCTTGCAGTGTAGGTGCAGGCTACGTGGCAGCCTTGGAGAAGGCATTCCTGCATGCATGTAACACGATTGGACATGAAGAAGAAGAAGATGATGAGTTGGAGTTTGACGAAATGGTCAATGATGATTCCAAAGATGATGGGATACCTGGTATTCCTGCAAACGAGATCTACACACCACCTCCGCACATGACAAACTTCAACATGGGCGAAGATGAACCGTCTTCTGATATATTTTTCAATTTGTATATGCAGTCAGATGAAAACTTAAAAGAGAAAGACAAATTTCGTAACAGAGAAGAATGTATCAGAGCCATCAAAAAATTTCACATGCTCAACTCGGTCGATTTTAAGGTGGACCGTGTAAATCCAGAAAGGTGTAAGATCAAGTGTGTCCACCCTGATTGTATGTTCAAGCTCACTGCATCATACAGATTAAGAGGTGATTGTTGGGTCATAGGTTCCATGTCTACGCATACTTTTGTCAGTTCTACTCAATCACAGGATCATCGAAAACTTAATTATGATCTCATTTGTCAAGAAATCCTACCACTCGTCAGCAACGATCCATCATTGAAGGTGAAAACCATAATCTCCCACATCACTACGGTATTTAACTATACTTCGTCTTACCGAAATGTGTGGTTAGCAAAGACCAAGGCGATTGAAAAAGTATATGGAAACTGGGAGGAGTTATACCAAGAACTTCCTCGCTACCTGAATGCACTCCAGACTTATTCTCCTGGTACTGTTTACATTCTGGAAACAGTGCCAGCATACACCCCGGATGGTAGTCAACTCAACAGAAATGGAATATTCAGTCGAGTGTTTTGGGCTTTTCAACCTTGCATCACAGGGTTTGCGTCATGCAAACCAATTATACAAATTGACGGGACTTGGTTGTATGGGAAATACAAAGGCACGCTACTGATGGCAGTTGCACAAGATGACAACAACAACTTTTTCCCAATTGCCTTTGCCCTAGTCGAGGGGGAGACTAGTGGTGCTTGGAGCTTTTTTCTCAGAAATCTGCGAACACACGTGGCTCCTCAACCAGATCTCTGTTTGATCTCTGATAGACATGCATCCATTGAAAGTGCATACAATAATCCTGCAAACGGTTGACATGACCCTCCTTCTACGCATGTCTATTGCGTTAGACATATCGTCCAAAATTTCACGAGGGAGATCAAAGACAAAACACTTAGGAAAGCGGTTATGAATGCGGGATATGCATTGACACAACCTACGTTCAAATATTATCGCAACGAGATCTGTTTGTCAAATCCGGAAGCTGGTAGGTGGATCGATAATATTCCGGTAGAAAAATGGACTAGGTCATACGACAATGGACAAAGATGGGGCCACATAACAACAAATCTAATTGAATCGATGAATGGGGTATTCAAAGGCATACGAAACCTCCCGGTCACTGCTTTGGTTAAATCAACATATTTTAGGATGGCTTTGTTGTTTGCCAAAAGAGGTGAAATGTGGAATGCTGTGTTGCAATCTGGACAACTATGGAGTGAAAGTTGCATGAAGTACATTAAGGCAGAAAGTGCCAAAGCCAACACCCATATGGTTATACGGTTTGACCGACACAATCACAACTTCATTATCAAAGAGACAATCGACCACAAGGAGGGTCTGCCAAGACAAGAATATAGGGTTGTACTACCTTCTCGTTGGTGCGATTGTGACAAGTTTCAAGTCTTTCGTATGCCTTGCTCTCATGTCATTGTCGCGTGTGCCTATACTCATCAAGACGCGCTACAACTTCTGTCTCCCATTTACAAATCTGAAACGTTGCTCAACGTTTACAATAATAGCTTCCCTTTGGTAGCAAAACCAGATTATTGACCTGCATACGAAGGCGAAATAGTATGGCACAATTACCAAACGCGAAGGAATAAAAAGGATCGTCCAAAAAGTAAGCGCATCACACCGAAATGGACTTCCTTGACAAGCTGGAAAGAAAGTATGGTTTATGTCGTCAGGTCGGGCACACTCGCAAAAATTGTCCGAATCGGGCTACTGCCTCAACCACATAAAAATTATATTACAAAAAATATTTCCTTTATTATGTTGTAAACATTAGGGTTTTTCGTTAACAATATTTGTTACAATAAACATTGCGCGAACAAGAAAAAAAACACGATAAACCATCTACGAAATTACAACCGTTAAAACAATTTCATCTGACCCATGCATCATCAACATTACGTCACTGTCTGTTTTGACTTCCTCCAACCAAAAATTAGGTCTTCCTGTCGCAAGTGAGGCTGTTGTTCGTCTTCTCTAGATCCTTCTAATTTGTTTCCCTCCACGATCTCTCCCTCTAGTCATCGCATCAACTCCCTCTTCAGACGCTCCATGGAGTGAATGTGCCAGAATTTCATTTTCATCGGAGGTTTTGTGGCGGAGAAAATAACGTAACCATCTTTGGTAAAAATCATGGGCGATGTCATGACGCAAATAACAGAGTAAATTAAAAAAAAAAGAACAGTGCGAGAAAGTGTGACGAATGACGGAGAAACGGACGGATTATTTATAAAAACAATATTTTGCCCTAGGAGCCAAGTGAGATGACCCCTCCTCTCACTTTTAAAGTACATGCGCCATCTCACTTGGCTAAAAGAGAGAGGAGGCGCCAAGTGGGATGGCGTCTAGGGCAAGAATGTGAGAGGAGGCGCCAAGTGAAATGGCGCCTAGGGCAAGAATGTGAGTGTAGGCGCCAAGTGAGATGGTTTCTCCCTTAGAGAATTTTCTGAAACATGGTTATTTGGGTAATTTTTTCTGAAACATGGTTATTTGTGAATTTTTTTTTTAATACCTGATTATTCCAAAAAAAAATTTATTTTTAAAATTAAAATTGTGTGACCTAGATTCTTTAAGAATTGTGAAAAAAAAAAATACAAATATATGCAAACATGGTCGTTTTACGGGGCTTGACATTATCTTCGATCGGTGAAAATAAAAAAGTTGAGGAAGCACATCCAAAATCACTTTAACTTGATAGAAGTTTTCTTGAAGCATGGGAACACCTGACTCAGATATCTAAGAACTAATCTATAGTATTGATAAAGCATTGTCTCATTACATAAGTGAATTAATGTAGTTGCAAAACGGATAGTGTTTGAACTTCATGTTCTCGTTGATTTACATATGACTATTTAGAATAATACTATTGTTCATAAAAATAGTAAATTGTAACATATTAAAAAAATGAGCAACAAAAATAACTCAATATTAGAGAAAGTTTTTGAAGATGCGGAGAAACCATTGCAATATCTAAATTGTCGATATTATGATTATATGCTCGAACAAAAAATTTTAATTTTCTAAATTGTTGAGATTGAACCAAATCCTTGATTAACTTTTATATATATATATATATATATATATATATATATATATATATATATATATATATATATATATATATATATATATATATATAAAAGCAATTATTAGAAACACATAAACATCAAGTGCATAACATAAAAGCAATTATTGAGAAACAAATAGACATCAAATGCATGCATGTATGGGTGGGAAATTCTGAAGCTGATGTAATCTTACAATTGTAGGAAAGTTATATACATATCTTGTTAGAACCTGCATCCCACAAATCCTTCAATAACTTTGGAGCCTCAATGGAGATTATGCTCCTCACCTCCGGATGATCTCTAAATTCAAAGGATGAGAGATTCAAAGCATGAATAGAGATTATGCTCCTCATCTTCGGACGACCTCTATATTCAAAGGATGAGAGATTCAAAGCATGAATATCGACGACACTGTCATGGAAACAATGAAGTATGCTCAAATGACGCAACTTTGCACTGATGATTTTGAAATCACACGTGAACCAACACATGTTAATGGTGACATGTTCCAATTGGAGACATTTAGAAAACAAATGATCCAAGACAATTGTTGTCACGAGTCCAGAAAAGTGAACAAGATCTACCTTTAATTTGATGCAATTATATCAATATTAATTAATGACACGAGTATTATTCCAACCTAATGGAAAATTGATTAGGATTGAACTGATCATGTCACCGTGACATTTCTGAATGAAATTATCCAATCTTGTGGCAAATTGAGATTGAAGCTGTTGAAAGAGTGGAAGGGTTTTAGGTAACTCTGGATTATTATAGTCCAACATGTTATGGAGATCAAAATTGAGGTCCTTCCTTAATCCCCATTCATGATAACATTGTTTGGACAATGCACTAGTTTTCACCAAGTTCTTCAAACTTAACTTGGAAAAGATATGTGATATAATACAATCAGCCAACTCACTTGGTTCACTCTTGACTTTTTTCACCAAATTCTTCATTCTTGCGTTACTTTGTGTAAAATTGAGTGAGTACCTGAATCACAAATTCTTAAAGCTTTGTGTTCTACCTAGAAAAGAAAATGTACCCAAAACCTATACAAGTAGTAGGATTTATATCTCTAGAGTTAGGGTTTATTTCTTTCACTTAAAAAAAAGGGTCTGTTACTTCACTGGGCCTCCTTATGCATGGCCCTTTTTAACTCAACTTTATATTTTAAATCACCATAATTTTATTCATATTATTTTACTTTTAATCAAATTATTTTTTATATAATTTCTTTTTAAGTTGATTTTAAACACATTGATTTGAAATAGTTTGATTGAATATGAATACATATATGAAATATTAATCTCTAATTTTTAACATACTATTTTTAATTTGTTAACATTTATATACACTCATCAAATTGTTGAGTTCAATATATATTACTTATATTATATACTCAGATACCAAAAATATAATATAAATATGGATTAATTATTATAGCGTCGCTGTAGAAATATTATTCTCAATAAATATTCAGTTAAAAATATATTTAATTAGATATTAAATATAATTTAACCTAAAATTTAAGTGTTTTTAAATCTCTCTCTTTTTGAATTACTATCCTCACTTTAAGGAACAACTTGTAGATGAAATTGAGGGTTAGTTTGTTTTTTCTTTTTAAAACTGACTTTTATAATGAAATATAATTATTTTAGTGAAATTTTTTTTGAGATATCAAAATTTTAAAAAATCACTTAATTTTAAAATTATTTCAAATAATTTTTCATAAAAATCATTTTTAAAATATAATTATTTAAAAAAAAAATTACGATTTTAATTATGTTTTTATCTTCAATAATATATGTTAATGTTATAAAAAGTCAAAATTAGTATTTCAATTTAGAAAAAATAAATATAAAAAAATTTGTAATATTTTGAAAAACAATTTTATAAAATCTTTTAAAAATAAATAAAAAATCTAATTTAAAACTTAAACAAACAAACCTAAATTAAAGCAGCCATTGAATTGATGATATTTTTGATCCGACTATGAATATATTATGTCAATAGTAAGATTTCAGTCTACAATGCATCATCATGTAATTAGATTTAGATGATAAAAATATTAATAGAAAGAAACGAATAAAAATATAAAATTGAATATGAAAATTGAGGGAAAATGCATAATTGAGACTTCGATCAATTTCGATTAAAATGAAGAAGGGAGAAAGAAGTGAGACATGGACTCGAGAAAAACCAAAAAAAAGTTAGAAATAAGGGAGTTAATGAAAACTAATTTTTTAATGAGGTGTATTAAAAGTTAAGGGGTGAGTGGGAAATTAATGGATAAATCTTTAGCCATTTGTAAACCATAATTTCTTAATTGGGTAGAAAATTATATCTCATACTTCATCGTTTATCTTCTACTTTACAAATAATTAGTTTGGACTAAAATACTTTTGTATAAATATCTGTATCTTAAAAAAAAATTCACTTTTTCTTTATTTCATTTTTAAGAAAGTGAGAGTTACAAAGCGATACTATTACAAAAAACACATATAACAACGATTGTAAAAGATCTATAATAACGGTTGAATAATCATTGATAGGTAAGGTGTGATTGTAAGTGAATTATTTACAATCACAAATTATTGTCTGTGGCAGTAAACTGGATAGCATGCTACATACAACTACAATTGTATTAAACAATCATAATTGTATGTCTTTTAATAAAATAAAAAATTCAGCAGTAGAACAAGAACAACAAAAAGAACAATAAGAAGAAGAAGAAGAAGAAGGACAATAACAACAACAAAAAGAACAACAAGAATAACAAGAACAACAACAACAACGACTAAACAACCACAAGAACAACAATAATAACAACAAGAACAACAACAACAACAACAATAATAACAAAAAAATAACAACAAGAACAAGAACAACAACTAACATTGCTAACTTGAATTCCTAATTTCCTTATCTCATTCAAGTTGGAGAACAAATGATGAAGTTCTGAAATTTGTTAATGAAAGATATGATGTTTTCGAGTTTTTTTATAGAAGAAATGATATTTTCAAACTTGGTTTAGTTGAGAAATAGTGTTTCGTAAATGAAATATGATGTTTAGAGGTAGAAGATGAAGTTAATCTATGTTGGAAGTTCGTCTAAGTTATAGGTTTCTCGTGGATCACTAATGGTAGTGTCTTGAGCGTTGATAATCACTAAATAGACGATCCAGATTTATTTAAGGAAGGTGAAGAAACTCAATTAACACATTACATCCAACAATGGTTGTATTAAATAACCGTTGTTGTATGTATCTTAATAAAATATAAAAAATGCAATAGTAGAACAACAACAACAACAACAACAAGGTCCGAACTCATGATCATGTGCTACATACAACAATTGTTATATTAAACAACCGTTGTTGTATGTTTTTAATAAAATATGAAAAATACAAGAGTAGAATAACAACAACAAGATTCTAACTCGTGACCATGCGCCACTTTTTACCACAGTTGGAAGTTTAAACCGTGGTAAAAAGTAGACTTAAAAATAAAAATAAAGGGAAAGCGCCTATTGAATAAATTCTACCACGATGAATCCTTTGGCTGTGGTGAAATAAAATTCTATGGCGTTACGAAATATATTTTTTGTAGTAGTGCGGTTAACACATGTAAAACTCTTCTAAACCCACATATATTTCGCATGAATTTTTACGAAAAGAAAACAAGTTAAAACCACAAAAGGGCGTCACATCTTCATGTAAACGTCATACAAAACATAATCCTGCTCTGTAACACGGGTTTCATAATTATTTAAGATAAGTTCTTTTTGAATAGAAATCAATATACATATTCATATTTCTCGCAGTGGAATTCGTAGTTCAAAACACCTTTATTATAAATACTTCATAGAATCTCATCATACTTCACGATTCAAAATAACTCGAGTACTGCGAAAGGTGATTCAACATATTAGAATAAAACAAAGAACATGAAGTTCATAGTTCAAACAATCCCAAAACCCCGATGTTACATATCAGAGCAAGACTCATTCTATTCAACAGAAAGTAAATAAACACACTCTGAAGCTATCTTCTAATGCTTCGACGGACTAATCCTGATCACCTGCAAGTTACCCATGGATAGAGGCAACATTTTTAAGCAGAAAGGGTGAGTAAATCATAATCATTATAAAAGACATAAGGAATAAATATAATAGACATGCACATAGGAAATGCATCACACATCAACAAACCTCATGTCAAGACACATACCTTTATAACATCATCAATACAGAACAACATATCATCATAACACCATTTATCAACAAGTATCATTTAATCACATCATTATGGAATGTCACTTATATTGTAATCTAATATCATAGAGTCATGCATGCGGTGCCGAAACTACACTGATGACTCAATCATCGTTTTATTTAAAGATCTCCACCAATAGGATCGATTCCCACTTGGAACCAGATCACTTCATAATATTGCACTCAATCCACACTATAGGATTAATGTCTTCACTAGACTATCTTCCTATCACTATCATTGGACCAAAGTACTAACTTCACTGGACCGAAGCCCTAACATCACTGGACCGAAGTCCTAAAATATGTCATGAATGCATGATACGCAACAATATAATAAACACAACCACGACTAGTCAACACGCATTATCATTCATGAATTCATCACAACATCATCAAATCATTACAATAAACAAAGTATCATTATAACATCATCATATCATCACAATAAACAAAGAATCCTCATAACGTCATAATAAACAAAGCATCATCATAACATCATAATAAACAGAACATCATTGTAATCCAACACGGAGAAACTTAACTTCATCATAGTCTAATTACTATAAATATACCTCTTACTACTCATTTTATTCCACCTAACTAAAGTTTATTGCTTTAGCTATCCAACACTTTGAATGAAACCCCAAACCGAGTTCTAAAACTCAAGTTATGACTTTTTGAAAATTCTATAGTCGTCCATCGCCTACAGCTCGCCCGGCGGCGTGGGAGAGACAGCACACTAACCCCATTCTAGACATGATCACCTGGCGAAGCACCTTGCTCGCCTGGCTACATGCCTCTCACGCCCGCATCGCCCCGACGATTATGCGAGTAATGCACTCCAATAACATTCCTCTTTTCTGTACTTCATCGCTTTATGTTTCGCCTGGAGACTCCCAAGCAACAATAGTATCACCCGACGAAACTTCTCACTTCCCAGCGACACGTAGTAGACTACAACCCTTCTTCTGCAATTCTGCACCTGTTCAGTTCCAAATTCACTTGCGATTACACACCAATACAGGCCTAAAACTAACCGAAATCATCATAGTTTCATAACAACACAATAGTGCATCATAGTAAACATCATATACATCATTCCTTATCATTATAACACCAAATCATCACCAATTTCATCAAATTCATCATGTTATCAATCCAAACAAAACCCAACACAAACCTACAACTATCTAAACCTTAGATCAATTATAATAACAATGATAAACACTTTTTACCTTAGAGTATAGCTAGAAATTAAATCCTCTTTATGCTCTACCAAAATTCCTATGCTCCTTCTTGCCTCTTTATGCCCTAGTTTTTGCTCTGTCTCTCTTTTCTCCAAAAGCAATCGTACAGAATGATCGATCAAAACCTTAAATCTTCCTTATGTCAAATTTTATCCCTTGGACTCCTAATATGGTCTTCCCATCTTACCCTCACTTACTTCACCTTATTACCACCTTTCCCTTATGGCCTCTATCTAACAATATTATTCTATTTAACTAATTAAAATAATTCTAAATAGTTATTCTAATTATTCTAAAATGCTCATAAATCCTCTTAATTCTCAATAATCCTACCAACACGCATGAACATCATATAATCATCAAAATCATCAAAAACATCACAGATCATCACATCAAACCTCATACTCATAAAATCATCGCAAATACGCATTATAACT